ACTCAGGTCTGACACAGAATATGCAGAAGGACTAAGAAATACCATTGATATCACACATGACTTACCCAAGAAAAACTTAGATCAGTTGGTGATAAAATAAATTTGCTATTATATTAATGCTTATAAGAGTGGATTTCATGGTATATCTGTACTTTCCCCACTGCAAGAAAGAACAAATTGCAAAGTTAAGCAGGTGTTGGGAAGTGCGTATGTTGTACCAAAAGCGTTAATAGAAAAAAGATGTGACGAGTAGCTTGATTTTATTTCTAAAAACACAACAGTTCATCCCATTCTACTTATGGGAGACTAAAAAATAATTACTGCAATATTAAAATAAATTAACCGTCTACCTTTATACCATTAATGTGTGAATTTCTTTTCAGATACTATTATTATATACGTTTAAAAATATATGGATAGTTACACAAAAAATGGGGATTAACAATTAGAAAAATAAGTGTACTAACTACATTATATGTTTGTGCTATAATAGTGCTTTATCGTTTCGAATCAGATATTATTGGTACTTTTAGTAGATTTACGTAAATTGAAAGAAAGTCATGAAGCCATATTTGTTTTATTTGACGATAAACAAGAAAAATAATTTTTTTCTCAATTTGGTTTGGTACAATTGTATATTATATATATATATCTTGATAGGCAACCATCAATGACAAGTATTTAGGTATTCATGTTTGGCATTTTTTTGTACGTACTGAATAATAACACTTAATTTAAACATCATGTCTAGAGCAATTGTACAGGTAGGTCCTTCCTGCTGCACTATGCGGATGCGAATAACATGTTCATTTATCTTCTCTAAATGATCTAAAGAAATATTTTCATTTTCTGCTATATTTGAATTGCACTTGAAAAACAACGATGTGTGAATGGACACTTTTAAGACTACGATGGAATAAGAAAGTAAAATATAAAATAACAATAAGCGGACTAAGTACGAGTATTTTTATTCAAATTATAATGTGCTGATAATCTTTAGTACAAATTCAGTGAATACGAAGAAATATAAAAAAGGAAGACTAATGTTTGGTTTTGCTAGAATAAATAAAAGACAACAAAGTATTGAAATAAACCCTTTACTTCTAACGGTGTAGATGATATTAAATGTAGACTGTAACGGCGCTTGATTCGATTAGGTTGAGAATAAATAGTATACCTGTTTGTTCGATCAGTGTCAAAATCTTTCTTTTTTTTTTTTTGATAGTTGGATAATTTATTGTGAGGTACTATTTTCTATGTAATAATTGTGTAAATACAGTTAAAGATCACAACTATATTCCAGAGCAGCGGCTCTCTGTGTCATCAACCAATCTATGTTACTAATAATTTACTCATTGCTGTACCTGATGATGTCAGGAAAACCTGGTGAAAGGTTTTACTGTGTAAATAATACTATGTTTGTCGGACAATAAACAAGTTTTTCCAAGGGATTGACTGTTAATTCTATAACGCTTCCACAGATGCAAGTGCAGGGCGTCTTCATCAACATCGCGTCTCGATCTTCAGTGCCTTCGATCCTCCACCAGCCCAAATTATGAATAATAGTCAATCACTTTCGTATCAATCCCGAAATGTTCTTTTCCAGCTCATATCGAAGATTGTGTAAATACTTATTTATGCTTGGTTTTAAAAAATAAAAGTTATTATTAATATATATGTGCCCGTTCATTATTATTTCTGAGCATAGAAATTTAAAAAGGAAATATCTTTGGTTTGGAGCTTTATTATAAAGTGATAATACTTGATGGTCTCTCTAATATGTGATCAGTATTATTCAATGAAGGAAAATGTTCAAATTATTATGTAAAAATTCACTTTTTATCATTATTTTACGATGTTCCCACTTTTCACTGTGCTCCAAAGATTGAAATTTAATGAATAACAAGCATTTTTTATTGTAATAACAAAGTACCAAGACTATGGCAGAATCTTATGAACCTGTATATATTTGAAAAAAACAACAAAAAAAAAAACTGATAACTGATTTTAAGAATCAAGTACACATTAGTAGACCTAGAAATAAAGATAAATGCCCTATGTAGTATTATCGTCATTGGCAAATAGTTTCCTTACATATCTTTTTTATTGTCTTCTTAGATCATTAGCAAAGGACAAGATCTTGAATTCACAATACGCAGAAAGAAAGACAGATCTTCTGATATAGTATCTTGACTTTTTATTTTTCGTTCCTCACGGAATAAATAGTTTTAGCTCACTCAATAAAAAAAAGAGACACAACAACACGATAATAAAGTTGGAAACGGAAAGTGCATTTACATTGATTTATTTTTCAACTTTAGAATAGACGTTCATTTTACAGTTTGATTTGATAGTTATCTAGAAACATTATTTCCAGCTAAGAAACTATACTATATATTTTCGTCTATATGTAAAAGTTTGACGAAATAATGGTTTTATTCCAATTATGATGAGAACAGGGTGGTATAGAAAATCTTCCGATTAGTTTTACAAAACAAACTAAATATTTTGTGTTATGTACGAAAAGTTGACAAATAATTGAGTTTCAAGCAAGTTCCAATTATTTAAAAATATTTATACTTTGCATAAAAAAACCAGTTAAAAACAACAAAAAATCCTTAAAGAATACGATAGAAACATTTCTGTTTAAGAAAGTAATACTTTAAAATATGTTTATTTAATATATAAAACAAGCTGCAATTGTTTAGCAATGCTATACTAACATAATTAAGAAAATAGCAAATAAAAATACTTTTTCACACACACACACGTAAAGCGTCTCTACAACATTATTGACTAAAGTAAGAATGCTTTGAAGGCGTGTTTCATTATGTTACGCTAACTAATTTTATGATACCATTATTCTGAAGGATACAGTGAATGTTGTGTAAAATAATCATTTAACTTTATGAATCATTAGAGGTTGCTTTCAACGACAATATAATATTTTACTATTTTTAAGTGTACAACAGTAAAGAAGGAAAATATATTCATGGAAGATAAAAGTAATACCTTACCTAACATACATATAAACTGAGCGAGAAAGAGATACAATGTTTTACATTTGTGAACTGTATATATATATATATCTATTAATGTAACTGTACGGAGTTTACATTTAGAAAAATAATTATTATTTTGTTACTTTGTAAGATTGTTCTGAAATGTACTTTTGGTAAAAATACGCCTTAATTAATTCATCTAAAGCCCTCTTTTACAGGAACTACTCTAGTAAACATCCAGAAAAAACAGCATTATTGATATTTAGAAAAGAAACCTATATATTTATTTATAATTCACATTTCGGAGATAGAAAATGTCATCATTGTATTTCATGAAACAATTAAATGTTTGAAAAATTGACCATACTTTTAGAATTGCTAAATTTAATAGTTGAGTATCCTACCAATAATGAAGGTAATAATTGTTTTAAGGTTAAATGATGCAGGTAGTTGAAGACTAGCAGTAATTTCAGTGTGCAAAAAAGTTTGTTTTAGCGCAAAGACAAACAATAAAATATCTGTATTTTAGCATTGCAAACCCGTAAACTTACCGCTGACACAATGGGGCCTGTGCAAAGAAGTTTAGTAGTTCAAAGGTATTAAAACCTAGATCTTAAGACTTTAAAACTAAAAACAGTTTATTTGTAGCAATGCCAGTTTAAGTCCATACAACTTGTAGATGTTGTTAAAGCTACAAACACACCGATAAGTATACATGTTTTTGACACGAAAACTTCAAAAATAATAGAAGCTAATGTAGATTAAAACAATTAATATAATAATTTTTATAAACCACTATTTTGAAGTTTTAAGCATTTTAAAAATTAACAAGTTTAGACGTCCTTAAAGCTCGTACAAGTTCGTACTTGTTTTGAATTGTTATGAGGGTAACTAAAATTAACATTCTTAGAACATAAAGGAGTATTTGTTTCAGTAACCGAAGAAAAAACTGTCCAGTTGTGTATAGAAATCATTAAGAGTTACTAAAATTATTCACACAGCACATTATTAAGCTATAAGAGATTTGAAGGAACACCTTCCCTGCAAATTACTTGTTTGTAGTCATTAACACCTATGCTTACAAACCGCATTTATTTAGTTTGAAAATTGCGCTTAGGTGATTACAAGTTGATTATTGCTTATTGTCGAGAACTATTAACGACAAATGATAGTATATGCTTTAACAGTCCAAACAAAACGCCATATATCAGTACTAATTCTATCAGTGTAAACATTTCACTTTAAGCCTTGCCTAATAAGGCAATAAATAATTTAATGGTTTTCTTAAAGAGTTCGGAAGATGACTGCTGTTTGTACATTATGATTTCTAGTGAGTTGAATTAGGTTACTCATATATAAACCTATGTTACAACACCTCTAGTAACTTTAATTCAATCCGACAAATGTCATCCGTTGATAATATCAGAGATAAAGTGTTTATTTAATCAAAAACAGCAACAGTATGCCCTAAAAAGTCCACGGACTTTTAATATCTAAGCACGCATGGCTAAGCAAATGGTAGAAATAGCACTTAATATGTGTAGAAGACAAAGCTTCTATGTGTAACAGTGCTTTACACAAACATATATTTATTGATCCATTGATATACTATAACTGTGTTAGTTTTATGCGAGAGACATGATATAATACAAAGTATTATAATATTTATGTTTTTCACTTATCATCAACAAACTTGTATCTCTCAATTTTATGTATTTATTTAATGAGATTCGAATGCAATGCACATTTAATGCTCTCTATTTTAAATAAAGGTTTGACAGACATGATGCAAACAGAAATACGCTTGTTTTTTGAGACATGTGGAAAAAAGCAGTACTATATCTTATATTTAAAAAAATGCAGAATGTGTATATAATAATTCTTAGGAAAATAAAATAGTAATACCTTACATAAATATACATATAAACTGAGCGAGAAAAAAGATAAAATGTTTTTAATTTGTGAACTATATATACATCTATGAATATAAATAACTATTATTTTTATGTGAATAATTGTAAATGTACAGAGTTGACATTAAGAAAAATAATTATTATTTTATTACTTTGTATGATTATTCTGAAATTCTGGCATTGTTAATGTTTTTAAACTCTAATATTGTTTCAGAGTATTTGTGCAGAAAATTAACAAACTAACAATAATTTATTTCAGTGGAACTTTGAGCAGAGTAGACATAGTAGGTTTGAAAACGTTAATGGATTGAAAATGCTTGTTGAATAAAAAGGGGACGACGTTTTGGCTTCTATACTTAGGTATCAGTAGAGAAACTGAATCGTCGTCCCCTTTTTATTTAAGAGGCTCTTGCAGTCCATTAAGTTTTCAATCCTACAAGAAGCTGTTCTGACTATCTTTAATAGCTTTAATACAGAATTGTTACAATGTGTGTGTCACCATGCTTATTCATTTCTTTTATTTAATGCTAGTTTAACATGTACATCAAACGATGCCTGAAAAACAAGGTTTAGAACAAAATTAAATATATTATTTATTGAAAAGGTTAGACGTCGCAGAATCCTCATATCTAACGTTATTTTTGTTTTGGATTATAAGTGCTTAATACTTAAATTAAAAAGTTGTTACTAGTTAGTTCTAATTAAAGTTCGAAAATAACAGAACATCAGCACCATTTTTTACAAAAGGTATATTTTATCCCACGGTACTAAAGATTCTTAATACCCTAAAGATTCTTAAATGTGCTTACATTTATTTTAATCTATGTCTTAATACTGAGTATGCTAAGTAATTTAAAATAAAGATATAAAGAAATATAAACTTAGTTTAAAGATACAAGTACTGTGACTTTAGGCTATGGAAATTTAATTATCGTGCATGTTGACTGTATATTAGAATTATTGCTTCCATGGGCTTAGTGTAACAAAGTAATCACAGGGTGGTGCTGATGGATGTTTTGCTTAATTATATATCTTCAACTTAATAAGAATTATTAATCTTACACAGACATTTTAATTGTTTGTTTGAAAAGTAATTCTCTAGTTAATGAATACACAGTAATTCGAATACACTGAGCAATAAATAATATACATTCTAACGTTAACTTTAGAATGGTTTCTGAAATGAAAAAGTAATTCAATCAAATATGACAACCTTTCTCATTTTATTCTTCAATATGATTTATTAAGGACAAAGAAGATTTTCAATCTTTCTACTCTTCCCTCTTAATCAAGTGAACACGCCATGTTTTTTCTTAGTTACCAATCGTTGCTGATCATTTATCTTATTCATTTGTTTTCTCTGTTCTTTCGTTTGACGGAAAAGTTCAAGTACATCACTTTAATCCTCTAATGATCTATTTCGTGGATCTTTACCAATCAAGTAATAAGTCATCAGTTTTCCTTTTCCTTTTACAGTTACCAAACCTCGTTGCTCAAAAAGATACCCGAAATCCTGAAGAATCTTAGCTGTAGCTTCAACTACCTACAATGTGTAAAATTTGACATAAATTAGCACTCATTTCATAAAATTTTCATTAAATCTCTTCACTTATTTTAACCTCTATAAGTAATAACATTGAAAATCAAACTTCTTTTAATAACGAACATAATATTATAAAGTATGGTTAAAAAATGAATTATTTCTAGCTGCTTAAAGCTTTGTGAAATATTACATTACCTGAATGCAACCCGCTTTTCCAGTACTTTCCATTCGGCTAGCTACGTTGACTGTGTTGCCCCACATATCATAATGTGGCTTCCTAGCACCAATTACTCCTGCTGTGATAGGTCCTTGGTTGATTCCTAAAATATGATAAAAACATTATGACATTCGATAGCTGGATATACTTTAGGTCTTGTTGTAATATGGAAAACGTAGAAAGATTATAAATCTTTGATTACTTTTACCTGGACGAAAATTAATAGCATACGACTTTCAGAAAAACTATGAAATTAATGAAACTTTAACTCATTGCCTGCTGATTCGCCGTATAGGGTACGGTCCATCTCCGGCACTTGAATGCGAGTGTCCTGTATACAGTGTACGGCTCCCAAAAATTCCGCGCTCATTTAAAGCAGCCGCAGTCGAAGGGTTGATAGAAAATGTTAACATATTCAGAGCTATAAGTTGTTATATGGCCCTCTCGTTTAAATTGTGATAACGGGTAACATTTTAATTTCTTTACTGGATCGTTTTCGAGGATTACTGCAAAAGAAGAATAATGAGGAGAATATAGACGGTTCCTACAGTGTGTACATTTATTCAATATATTTATATCATTTCTCAGAGAATTCTTCACTTTATGCACATGACATATCACACTCCAAAGATTTGAGTAAACCTTACACATTTTTGTAAAAAAAATAACCACCTAAGTAAATCACATGAATAAATATTACACTTAGGAATGTATAGTGACCAGATTGATCATCTGTTACGAGGATCATAGCGTGAACTCGGTATGATGTATACTCCCAACTAAATCAAGGAAGGTATTTTGTTCGACGATAGTCCATTCACCGCGGAATGTATTCTGTAATTAGTTCACAAACGTTCCCAGTGCTTGTTCCTGCCAAGAAAGATGCCTGAAGACACCATCTTTCTCTTTAAATATGTTTTTGACAACATGAGTACAGTGAACGTTTCCTTTGTCATCTTAGAAAAGCTTCTTAGCCACCTAAGTACAAAAAAAAAAGAGTATATTCTGAATTACTGGACTTTTTCAACGGAACCAAAAGATTCAATCCCTTCCACGACAATGATTCCAATATTTCTACGATGATACTTAATTCATCAGACTACATCATTAGACGTTTCCAATTATTCGTTGTCCACAGGTTGCACACTAAACACTATTGAAGTCATATTTTTCTGTTTATATCTGAGGCAAGCAGTTTTGGACTGGTTGTAAACTGCCACATAACAGTTTTTGCCATATTTTTCTTATGGTATGATTGGATAATATGAGATCTTGATACAGTTTAAAGAATTGGTCAACGACCATACAGTCTGATTGATGTTTTTTGTACTTTTCAAGATTTCTATTTATTTGTTGTTTTTGTTTTTCGGATATTCTTGAAAGTAGCACAAGAGGCTATCTGTGCTAGCAGATCCATAATTTTGAACTGATAGATTATTGGGATGGTAGTTAGTTAATAGAACCAACCGATTTTGCCCTTACTCTTATAACACACCCACAACCCCAAAGTGAGGAGCGCGATTTTCTTTTGTGCGTGTGGTAACAACGCATATCACAGACCTTCGGTAATGCAGTCCAGAACGCTAATATCTTAATTATACCAGGATTAAGTCTGAAAGATCCAATACCTTGCATACTAATCACTATACCATTTAAAGGGCTTAAACAATCACTTAGCACATAATATTATTAGGTTATTTCAACGGTATGCATATTAATAGCGTCTTCTACACATGTGTCGGTTATTCCAATAAAGCGCCAGAGAGTGAAAGACTGTCGACATCCGTAAGTTCACCCTCCCCCCAAACAAAACAAAACAACAACAACAAAAAAATGTAAAATATTATCAGCCCAGAAAAGGATGGGGTACATACTTTTTGGTAAATGAAAGCAGCTTTTATTATCAATCCAGCGCAGGTGTAACTAGGCTTTCAAAGAATTACAATTTTAATTATTTTGTTACAAAACGTTAATATATTTAGCTTGAGAGCCTTATATTACAAAATATTTTTCTTATAAAATAAAAAAGTACTTGAAAAATATTTATCCAGAGAAAGTACCTTGCAACAGTAAAATGAAGTATGATGTAGAATTATTGTAGCTCTTATTATAAAAAATGGCTACATTTTGATCATAAAGAACAAAATGTTCTGAAGTAGCTTGATTTCAATTATTTTTTATACAAATGTAAGATATACATCTGTTAATATTATCAATTGTAGGAATTGTCTTAAACAGTATAGAATAATCAATACGTCACTTTTTTCGATCTAAGCAATACCTGACTTACCCATTCGTAAAACAAAGTTGTTGAAACTTTCTCTATTTATGTTGTTCAGCGTTTCTTTCAGTGTTAAAGCGAAGTCGGTCAACTGCGCTAGATGGCACCACTGCTCTTTCCCTCGAAAGTTTTCCTGTAAGAGTTTGAATATGTTATGTAAGGACAAAAATTCCTGAAATTATTATACAAAGACTGATTTCCATTTCCTTGTTTGTTTAATTAATTAGAATATTATTTGTTGAATTTTGATAAGTGATAAAGATTGTAATTTTTTTTTTTTTTACTTACATTTGCTGAATCGTTACCAGCAGCGGTTAAATCATAATTTTGTAATTGGTTTATATTAGATGAAAAATTATTACAATACAAAGTTATACCTTAAGAATAATCATACTTGCTTATTTTCATTACTATTGTTGTTGTAATGATATAGAACGAAAAACAATAAATAAATAGCCCAACTTTCTAATTTTTGTTATTGCGCTGGTCTTTTATTTTCACTTATTTTAGTTTTTCATTTTTGATAATAATCACTTAGATGCTATTTTTAGGGATAATAATAGTAAATACACGTTGTCGTACTATTAGCATAAAGAAGGTCTCCAGATCATTTCATCTTTTACAGAACTGTAGCAAGAATGAAACAAAGTCATATGCACGCAAGCCCTTCCTAAATAGCATACAAAACTATTGATTTAGTATTGTGGTTTATTTGTTTTGTTGAATTTCGCGCAAAGCTACTCGAAGGCTATATGCGTTAGCCGTCCCTAATTTGGAAGTGATAGACTAGAGGGAAGACAACTAGTCAACACCACCCACCCCCAACTCTTGGATTACTCTTTACCAATGAATGGTTGGATTGACTGTTACATTATAGCGTCCCCATGACTGAAAGAAAGAGCATGTCCGTTGACGGGATTCGAACGCGCGACACATCAGGCCATGCCAGGTCCGGCATTGTGGTAGATGATGAGGAAATGTAGGCGCTTTTGTACCTTTTCAATAGTAGTTTCATTTTTTTCCAGATATAATACCATAAAAAAGGAACGATCATAACACATATCAAATTTCATTATAGTTAGGGTAGCTAAGATCCTAAAATTATTTTTTTTATAATAATCTTGTTTGCATATGCAAACATAATTTTCTGTATACAAAATAGCATCGTCTCAGGACCTAATGTAAACGCCTGCAACTTTTTCTGTTGATCCCAGTGATTTTAAATTGGTACCAAAACATTATTTCGAACTCCCTCCACTCATTTCAATGAAAGAATACTAGAATAAGAACTATAATAAGACTTTTGGTCAGTCCTTATAAAAGCATATACTTTCTAATTAAAAACACATTGTTCACGTTTTTCGCGCCTAAGTTTACACTTATAAAAACAAACCATTATATTAAGATACCTTCACAAACTCTTCTCTGTTGAGTCCACTCGCAGCCATGTAGGTCGACCCAATTGTCTTGATTTTGATTATATCTTTAAATCGTGGTTGCTCAAGCAGCTGGTGGAAATAAATCGTTATGAAACAATTTTTTTCCCCACAGATTCATAAAGATTCACTAAAAACTGTAATGCAAGTAGTATGATATAAGATATATTAGCATTTCTTAGTGCATACCAAAGAAGTAGAGCCCAAAATGCTTCTTATATTTTAACTAGAATAATCAAGACCTCAAACTGCATGTTTTTTAATAATAGACGATGTAATTTGATGTTAATGTTCTTCCAATTTTCCCGAACACTCATCACCACTACATTCACCATTAAACGGTTCTATCATTACAGATGAAAGCTGGTAAGGCTGTAGTTTGAATTCAGTAATGTTGTTTGCTTTATTATTTACAAGCTAACGTACCCGTCTTTTCTTATGGTTATGAACTTTAAAAAATGTGGGGGTAGATGCTATGTTAAACAACACAAAAATTCTAACTTTCAGACATTTTATTTATTGCGTAACATATTATTACAGTACTACTCATTATTATTTCACCTTATACAAGTTTTGCATAAGGTTTAAAAACTCAATATGTATATAATTAAAACATGGATAAACTGTAGGATGGTCAAAGTGACTTGTTATTTAGAGTTAGTGGCCAAAGTGGTGGCAGTAGGGGTGCTTTCTGTTACCCGCTTTTAACACCCAGCTCTTAATCTCATTCCACAGTGTTTCACGTGATTAAGTAATTGACGGGCATTAGCCGCAGAAGTGTCTTACAGGGCGAAGTGGAAACGTCACGGGTCAAAGTAGGAAATGTGTATATCTCAAGCAACGGCTCTTCATATCAGCCTTATGGTGGCTGTTGGGGTAGAAACTTCAGCTGAGTTTATGTGTTATTGTAATAGTGAAGGCCATTTTTTTCATTGCATTCCTTCATAAAGAGTGTGTTCGTTTTTGTGTAAGAACGTGGCGCTATCTATGAATGTAGTTAACGTTAACTTTAGTCAAATATAATAAATGCTCAAGAACAGTAATAATGTGGATGGAAGGGGTTTCTACTTCTTATTAACACGCCCCTTCTTTCAAACTATCATCCCACAAAATTTGGTTGAAATTGGTCAAGCGATCTAGTAGTAGTGAGGTAACGGACAAACTGACAGACGCATAGATTTGTTTTTCTGCTTTATATATATATATATAAAAGACAGAGAAGAAAAACTACAACTTTGATATAAATCAGACAAGTGAGGTTTAGTTAATGGTGCAGATTTAAGTAATATATAACAAAGTATTCCAGAAAATGTGATTAAAAGCAGGCTTCAAGATATTAAAAGAAAGCGGAATATTACTAGAGTTGACAGATGACTTAAGCAGATAACCCAAGCTTTCGGAAAAATTACAAAGCTACTGACGACGACAATAAAAGTATGCCGAATATATATACGTATATGTGTGTGTGTAGAGTTTGTTTGTTTGCTTCTAATTTAGCACAAAGCTACACAATGAGTTATCTGTGCTCTGCTCAACACCGGTATCAAAACCTGGTTTCTAGTGTTGTAAGTCCGCAGACATACCGCTGTGTCACTGGGGGGCGTATATGTAGGGAGAAAGAGAGAGAACACTGCAATCAAACGCAATGTTTTTGCTACCAGAAAAAACAAAAAACGATCAAAATAATTAAAATATATTTCAGATGTTTTGTTGCACAGTTTAAATTTCTATTTTTCATTTTCATTTCTAATACTGAGACGTTTTTATTCGACATTTTTACTTTTAATATATTTATTTTTAACACTTTCCAACATAAAATTACTTCAAAATTAAAAGAAAATCAGAAATAATAAGACATCATCTAATAAGACATCAAAACATTTTTCATTTTTTAAGGATAATACTAGTATTTCTGAAAGATCCTGTGCTGCTTCTGAATTTATTGCCGAACGTTTGAAGGAGCTTATATCGTTTTTACGATAAAAATATTGTGGAATAATTTAAATGAACGCTGTAATCACCATTGTAGGACAGATCAACCTTAGTTTAAGATATATTAAATGATTGTGACCTCGTGGTGCTGCCTTCCACTTACAAGGTTATAGGAATTGTAGAGAGTGAGTCTATGCTATAAATAAAATTGAAACCCAAGAAACTGTTTAGAACCCTTTAAGTGATTTCAAGTAATGCATTAGCTTACTTATATATATATATATATATATATAATTAATATTTAGGAGGACACGCAATAAAAAAATAAGATATATATATTTCACCGTTCAGTATTGAGGGGTAAAGGTTAATTATTTTATACGAAACGTAAGGCGTTTTACGTTTCGTTTTGAGTGGAACTTGAAATATATAATGATACCAAGTATTTACATATAAATAAAAACAAAAAGGTTGTTTAAAACTTAATGATTACAATGTGTAAAAATAGACATTTACTGTTTAAAGCCCTTTTTCGATACTAATCTTAGCATTCGACGTTTTAAATGACCGATTTTTGAAACTGTTTTGTATGTATATTTCTTACACATTATAGGTTTTTTTTAAGTGCTTGCGGAACTCGTCACGTGATTACCAGACTTCTGGGTCTAAGCATAAGACTACTGTTGACGTGGAGCCAGTAATATTTTTCACGGTGTGTCATTATTTTAATTGTTATCCTTAATGTGTCAAGAAAGCACTATAAGTTATTGAGAGTACAGAGTGTACAAGTTTAACTGCTTAGTATCATTACAGGCACAGTACATGTCTTGATAAAGAAGAGATATAAAGTGCAGGTATGCTTACCTATATATTCCACGGTAGCCCTACACACAGCCCCATTTACCTTAACTCCGAAATAACTTAATCCCAGAAACACATAGAAAATAGGCCTATGAACCTTTTGTTTATAGAAAGGGTTTCTGATCGGACTGAACTATAAGAGGAATGACCATTGCTTATACATTTAAACAGTATACATGTAAGTATCTCAGATAGACAGTGTAAAGTGTACGCTTTCTGTTTGGATACACAGTTAAGGCAGTAGAAAGGACATCTTTCTGAGAGACTTAATGTAAACAAATTGAATGTGAGTAGCAGTAACAAATAACTCTTGTTGTACTTTGAGATGACACTTAAATCAAACTTTATGTTTGATATCCGCATCAAAATAGTGAGCAGTTGTTAAATATTTAAAGTGTCTTACAAAATAGACTAAGGAGTTGAGTGTGTTAAAAATCTGTTCCCAGAATATCGCGTTGCTGTGTAGCTATATTCCTAGCCATTCAAAAATGGTCATCTGTCAAAATAGAGAAAAAAACAAACAAACATAGTGCAATTAACACTTATTTCCTTAAAAGTGAGTATTTATCGTGCGAAGTCATAGTTGTGAACATTAGTAGAAACGCTGCCCATAGAACGGCGTTTTGTGCTAGTAATTACTATTCGTACTATTCATAAGTCAATGAAAAAACATTTAGAAAAAATGAACATTTTTGAAAAAAAGGATTTTTGTGTGGGAAGTACTGCACGGGAAGAGTGTTCGGATTGTGCTGTTTAGTCATACGCAACTCATTGCACCAAATTGATTCAAAGTACAGAGCTCAAAATTTTCATGAACTTATTGATATAAACTGTAATGTTTTTATATATTAAAAGTGGTACCTTTTATTGAAAAAAATAATAGTTTCTTTAAGAACTCAAGTTTCTCAGTACTACATTTAAAAATGACATCGATAAAGATATAACCAAACTCTCACGTACAGTCTTAGCGAAAGTCGTGTTCTTGTTGTGAGAAGAGTACTTTTATTTAAAATTGTGTTCTGTT